GAATGCCGCTTATCTTAAAGACTCTAGAGAGGAAGCGTTTACGTTCGTCCGAATAAGGGATGGCGAACCAGGGCATTTTCGAGAAGTAATCTTCGAATGATTCCTCGTCCTCATCGCTTGAGATGAAGATGATCTCAAAAGCATCATCTTTTTCCTTGATTTGGTTGTAGGTTTCGATGAGATTGGGAAGAAAGGCACGGCAAGGTGGACACCAATGTGCGGAGAAGTAAAGAAGAATGTTCATTCCCACTAGATCCGAAACCGGTACCTGAAAAATCATTAAATCATGGGGGAATGCAACACATGATAGAATGAGTAGGAGACAGAAAAATAAGAAAATGCCAATTTATCATGCCAAGCACAAACATTCATGAAAATTTTCAGTAATCACGTTCAAAGAAGACAAAATAAATGTAGCTCAAACTTAGCATCTTATATTATTTCAAATGGGAAAGATTTGTTCCAGAAATCTAATTAATACCTCAGTAAAACATAAACTTTTTTCCCTAAAAATGCCTCGTAGTATATGCCCAAAACAATAACATGAAAAATATTCCAAAAGATAAGAACTTTGCTTGAGCTTTAAAGAAGATGCAAACCTTAGAACCATCATTTTTAATGACAAAATCTTTTTCTCCTGAAATAAGAAGGGATTCCAGTGTCTGGCTCTCAATTCTTGCTTTCTCCTTTTTCTTGAGCTCCTTCACCTTCTTAGATGTGAAAGGATATGACTCAATCCCATAATCCTCAACCAGCTCCACAGCATTTAGATTCACCGTCTTTCCATCGGTTCCGATCACAACCAGAGTTGGGAGGTCCAACAGCTCGAAATAACGAACAAGCTTTTCCCTTAGCTTGTCCTTGAATGGGATTCCAAGCCATGGCATGTCCTCAAAATCATCCATAAAAGAGGGCTCATCTTCTTCAAGAGAAACAAGCACAATCTCAAAATTCTCTCCTTTCTCTTTCAACTCATTGTAAATCTTCTCAAGTTTTCTGGTGAATCGAGCACAGGCTTCAAAGGAGCTCAAACTGAAGTATATTCCCACAATCTTTCCTTCAAAATCTGATACTGGCACCTACAAGAATGAATATTATTTGAGAAATTAGAGCTCAATGAAACAATGCAGAAAGAGAAATTCAGCACAAAACATCACCTTTCTGAAATCCTTTGTGAGTAAAAAGTCTCTGGTACTGGTAACCAATAAGCTTTTAATATTTTGATTCATCTTGGCAGCTTTCTCCTCCTCCTTCAACTTCTCGATCTTCTCATCCGTGAATGGATACCCCTCTGCACCATAATCCCTAACCACCTCAACAGCTTCATCTGTCAGAACTTTCCCGTTCTTATCAAGAATAACTAAGGTGGGAATTCCTTCCACACCAAATACATCGCTGAGCTTAGAACGCTTGTTTTCATCCGAGAAAGGGATTGCAAGCCAAGGCATTTTGGAGAAGTAGTCGCAGAAATCCTCATCATCTCCATCTGATGATACGAAGACAATCTCGAAATTGCTGTCCTTTGAAACTAGTTCTGTGTATACCTCCGCTAAAATAGGCGTAAATCGTCGGCACGGACCGCACCATGATCCGGAAAAGTACAAACCAACAGTTTTCCCTTCCAGCTCGCTGATCTTCACCTGCAGAATTCAGATTTTCATCATGATTCATCAATTAGGGTTTATTCCAACCCATTCCTTGGACTATAAGCCAAATTAATGAAATAAATGGAGGTTTAAACGGGAAAAAAAAAAAAAAACATAATCTAAGATTATATTCATCAAATTGACGAACAAAAACAACTGAATAATAAATTACTGCTGACAAGTCAGCAAATCCTCGCAAATAATCCAAGATAAGGTTATCTCACTTATAAACACCAGAAAAATATCACTATCTTCTTTAAAAGAACTTGGAACAAAAGCATCGACCAACTAGATCGGGATAACACTTAAATAATACACAGATACAGTCCGATCCGCCATTGATGCGTCACACGGAGTCAAAAAGCTGCGATCGGCGATAAGAAGCTTTCTAAGAAGTAGACGAAGAAAGACTGTGTTAGCGATGAAAAGAAAGCCGATAGGGTAAGATAAGGCCGACCTCATCGCCGTTGTTTCGTACGAGGAAATCACGGTCTTTGGAAGCAAGCAGAGATCTGAGGTCGTGTTGCTCGTCGTCGTCGTCTTCGAAATCTTCCTCGAAGCTGTCAGTCACCGACGCCTCTTCGTCCGCCATTAGTGACCTTGGTTAGATTCAGTTCTCTGGTTACAGTTCGCTGTGAGGAATCTTTGCGCTCCACGTTGCCGATAATCTATTGTTGCATCTGTACCCATTGTAAATAATTTATTTTACCTCTACTGTTAATTATTGGGCTGATGTTAAATGTTGGGGGGAATGTGCAAAAACGTTCATTTATTTTATTAGATATCGAGGACGTGTTGATTATGATTATTAATTACAGATAGGGCCGTCAAAATAATTCGTTGTTCGTGAACAGCTTGTGATCGACTCTTTAAGAAATTCGTGATCGGCTCGTTCGCTAAGTTAACGAGCCGAACACGAATAACACAAACATAAATTTGTTCGTTCGTGTTCGACTCATTTTGGTTTGAAATACTTCTCCTCAATTATATATATATAGATTGACGAGTAGTATTTTTTTAAAAAAAATTAACTATAAGCTACAGAGATTTATAATCAATTAAAACTATTAATTAAGAAAATATAATAAAAATTATTAAATTAGATTCCAAGGATATTTTAATATAAACAATAATTTTTAAATCTTGTTTCAATTCTTAAAATTTTATCGCTACATGATTAGAGTTGCAAAAACAACTCTTTGTTCGTTAACAGCTCGTGTTTGGCGAACACACTTTTTGAGCTCGAAATATAAGTGAGCCGAGCACGGCACGAGCTAAGCTAGGGCTCGCTCGTGTTCGGCTTGTTGACACCCCTAATTACAGAAATACCTAATGTTAAATGTGTGGAAATTCACAGAAAAGTGAGGGTATGAATGTAACATAGCGCAGTGTTGGGTCCCGCGGTTGTACGATAAAAATGAAGCCGTCGGTGGTTAAGAAAATCAGTAAGATTTGGAAGCCAATTTATTTAAGTATAGTTATAATTGCGGACATTTACATTCATACCACCCGTTTTTTATGTTTTTACATATGTAAACCAAGATTTAATTTTATATATTTATCCGACCCAATTCTGTCATGTCACATAAAAAATACTACTGTTTTGACTTATAAAAAGTAAAATATAACTTTTTATACATAAATAAAGTGTTTTATATGCAAAAATTGAAGTATAGATGTTAGATATATAAATACATAATTATCGAGTGATAAGCCACGGAGCCGTTTGGTTAGTGCATTGGAGTCGGTTGTCGGAGAACTCTCGTATGGCTTTATGTTTTAACCCGAATGATTGACGGCCGCTCTCTTCACCTCGTGTTTTGCGTTCCATCGCAGCTTATTACTCCTGAGCCCTCGATCTTGTCTTTGTTTGGCAAAGTTGCGCCGATGAGGGGAGGAGGTGACGAGAGGAGGCGACGACTTGGGCACGGTTTTGAGCCGAGAGGGATCGCGAGAGATGAGGGAAGAGCTCACCGGCGTGAGGAGAGGAGGATGCAGTCGGGTGGTCGCCGACGAGGACCGCCGACTGGCGACTTGGAGCGAAATCATGGAGTCGGCTAGGGTTTTCGAGAAAACGAGGGTGGCAGCTGTCTTGCGTGCGATATATAGGGGAGAAAGGGTATGCGATGATTTTATAAGGATGATAATAATATTATTATTATTAAAATAATAATAACAATAACAATAACAATTTCTATTCAATTAATCATCAATCTGCACATTTTTATCCTGTACATGTCCTCACAGCGAAGTGGACATCCTTCCTGACTAAAATAGCGGCATTCCAGACGCATTCGTGCAGTCTGTTTCATCATCCGGGGTCATTCAGACAACTTTTTCAGCGATCGTGTTTCTGTTTTATCTTTTATTTTGCATATACAGTTCTATAGCAAACAACTTCACTAAACAGGGGCAGAATGATCATTTATCTAGCAACAACTGTCAATAAGTTGTTCTGCATAAGTACCACCAAATAACAATATAGCTTATTCTAATAATCTGCTAATTATCATAATATTAGGATTATATGCTTATCAGCACATTATTAATAATATATAGCTGCCCCAAACAAATCCTAAGTTTGATTGTTTTCTTAGTCTTTTCAGAAAATATTATGTCCAGAGTACGGACGTAGAGTTACATCCACGCTTTAATTAAAATTTGACAAATCATTATCTAAAAAACGGAGAAGTCTGAAGTCTGACCCGGTGAATAAGTGTAACGTGGTTGTACTTAAGGTTTTTCTTCAATACAAGAATGTTGTAAAATATGACTCATAAGATTATTTATTTGAATGTTTTTTTACTTGGTACAACATGATTGTACTAAAAAAACTTCAAGTACAACCATGTTGTACTCTATGACCGGATCATATTTCATGTTTCTTTGCTTTTTACATAACGACACGCCATAAATACGGTGCAACGATGTGCCCTATGCACAGTTCTTCCGAAGATTTTGTAATAATGCACCTCTCAATAACTGCTTACCATCACCGTAATCAGGATACAGTGATTTTCTCTTTAAAGCTCTTTTTTTGCAGTTCACCACAACCTATGTGATCAATCATAACATATGTGGTCCACAACTTTTACAGCTTCCAACTCCAGTATCTATGGCCTACAGGCTTTATCACAACACATGCAGCTCCCAACTCCGACCTCAGCAGCATATGAACATTCTTACAACTCCTCATTATGACATATGTTATCAACCACATTCTACGTTGTCCACATCTCATGAAGCTCCCAACCCTAGCTTCTGTGAATTACAAGCATTCTCACAACTCCTGTAGCTCTATACTATGACCAATCGAACCTCGTGAAGCAACCATCTACCTGATTAAAATGATGCAACCATCTATGTAACATTTACTTCACATAACAAACTAGTGGTTTGTATCTAAATGCCCCTAACATTAAATAAACACAATTGCAATTAAAAATAACAAAATATTTTGTAGACAGCTATAAACTAAATGCTAATACGATTTTAATAACACGGAGTCAAACAGACACATAATTTCGAACATCAACTTCAATTATTTAGGTGTATTTACCATAAGTCAAGCTCATCTTTACTGAAAAAGAGAATATTATGAGTGAAATCTGATACATAAATCTAGGTCTGAAGGTTACAATATAATAAATACAACATGTATAATATGTACAGCATAAAGTATACAGTGAGTCCTATAGTATTTATTTGGGGCCGGACCCACCCACTATTCTAGCATGTGGAGACAGACGCTGGAACGAAGCGGAGCGGAGCGGGGCGGAAGAATCTGTCCAAATCGGGAAGTTACGTTATGTGGGTTGGGGCTATATGGTACAGGGGTAATTTGGGAATTACATATTGTACTGTAGGGTTTACTCTAGGATTATAAATAAATCTATTTGTAATCCTAAGTCTTTGAGAGAGCTGAGTATTGTATTCTGTATTCTTTTCTAAATATTGAAAAGGAGGTCGTCGCTCTGCTCTCGAAGATGTAGGCATCTTTGCCGAACCTCGTTAAATCTCTGTGTTCTTCTGGATTTGTATCGTTCTTATTTTTCTTCGCTCTATTTTCTCACCACAATATATTAAATACAACATGTATAATATGTACAGCACAAAGTATACTGTGAGTCCTATAGTATTTTTTGGGGCTGGACCCACCCGCTATTCTAGAAAATTCAGCACGTGCTTATTTCGTCCATCAATTTCGTATTCACCCCAATGACTCACGTGCTGTGAAATTCCCGCTCCCATTTTCAAAGATATTAACAGTCTTTGAAGACCACGAGGAGGAAGAAGAGAGGAACCAACGCAGGAACGCTGTATCTGTAGAACTTGTGTGAAAAAAGGTTTAAAAATTGCAGAAAAAGAAGAATAGAACCGCTTTAACAAGAGAAGCAGAGAGAGAGAGAGAGAGAGAGAGAGAGA